CTGTACGTCACTGCAACTGCGAGCTCCTTCCAAGTGGGAATAGCTGCTGCAGAGCCTGGCACTGCACACGTACAGCTCACCCAGAACAACACACAGCCTCTTCCTGGAAAAGCCTCAGCTTCAGCCTGGGGAAGGCTCACCATCCACAAGTTGCCACCTCTAAAACTAGGAGCAAAGGAACAGGAAGCCTAATTTAGATGGCTCTTGGCTACGTCACTCTGTAAGTGCAGCCCTATGGCACACCCTGGCCTGCACAGGGAGGACTTTAGGTCAGAGGGTAACATGATACATGAAAATAACCAAAAATGAAGAGAATAAGGGAAAGCACATTGGAAGAACATTTTTCTGTTAGCACAAGGGGTGCCCAAACAAAGCCCCCTCGGAGCCTGCCAAGATGACCCAGTTTCACCCTTTTTCCTTCCTCCAAAAGGCCACGTAGAAGGCTGGCACTCCCAAACATCTCTTGGGGTCAGACTAATTATGGCCACCATAATTGTTGCCTAAATGATGGGGGAGCAGTAGGAATCTGCTTCTACCTGTTGGTACCTTGTTACCTTGGCAAAACTGAGGAGAGCACTCATAAAAACATCTGTATTTTTACACAGTAGTCACAGCTACTAATCCACTGGCAGCTGGATTAGTAGCTGGTCTACAGACAGCTGCCTGCAAGTCAGATCCTTCAAATGCAATCTCCAGTGCAGGCAAATCCATTAAATAAAGAACTGTGCATAGTGGTGAGAGGACAATCTAACCAGGGTGCTGAAACAGGGTGAAATGCCTTCTCTTGCACACGGAACAGTGCAAGAAACAGCCCTATGAAAACAAATGGGGGATTAGTAAATTAAACAAACAAACAAACCAAAGAAAATGAGCAGTCTGGAACACAGAAGAAAACCCCCCACAATGATCCAAAAGCAATTAGCAGATTTCTGGAATTTAAAGGTGAGAAGTTGCTTGTTTTTAGGACAGCAGAACAAGCATTGCACCTCGTGCTGCTGTGGTCAGGAGGAATCACGTTTTGGGTATGGCAGGTATTGATTCAGCTGGTCTTTGCAGAGATGAAGATGGAGGGCAGACCCTGAGAAGGACAACTGGGGCACCCTGATGTAACCCACCCCTTCCAATGCCTGCAGCGCTAGGAAGTAGTTTTCCAATACAGAGCTCTAATGGAAAGTACATTTAACATCAACAATCCAGCTCCTGGCAACCAGCCTAGCATTTAAATTACATTTCATATGAACAGTATCCAAATGAAAGAGAGCACAAGTGGCTTTTAAATGGCACTGGCTCCGTGTTTCCCTCTTACCAGCTTATTTGTCAGCTCCATTTAGTGATTGTATGAAAGGTATGTTAAGGATAAAATTGTAAGAGATGCCATTCTTGCTCAGTTTGCTTCCAGGAAAAGCTTCCTCCCTGATTTGCCCTCCCACTTCACCAGGTAGCTCCATCAGCCTAGACTAATAGCTGAGGGGGAACAAGAGCTGCCTCCACCTTTTCTGACAAAAGCTGTTTGAAACTACTTTAATTTCCAAAATGCAGGTCTAGGCAAAAGCAAAAAGCCTAGCTTTGTGCTGTGAAAGGAAGAGCTAAAACCTCTGTTCAAGCCCATTTCCTTAAGAGGTGTCCTGACCCCAGGACACTCACAGTCCTTGGGAAGAGGGACAGTTCCTCGTGTTCAGTTGAGTGGCTGTCAGGCATCTCCTGCACAAAAACAACTGCTGCTGCTCCTGTGGCTGAAGCCACCAGAACAGGCAGCTCTGTGCAGTGAGCAGTGGTTTGGAAGAACAAGCATTTAACCTTCCTGAGCCAGGTATTCCCTCCTCCTGGTATCCTCCAAGCCCTCCAGAGATCTGAAGTCTGCCCATGTGTGAAAATGGAAAGTGAAATGATGTTTGAGGCTGACACTGGTGTCTCTACAAATAGTCCCAGCTCCCCAGCCCCACTGTCTGCCCTGGCTTCTTGGCAAAACCATATGCACACTTCCAGGTGATTTTGGTTTCAGAAACCAGGATTTGATCAGTGCTAAAGGGCTGTCATGCTGACAATTGTTGCCTCAGAGGCAACATCCCTTGTGGAGCTTCACAGTCACAGATCTCCACAGAACTCTTACCAATGCACCCTCACACCCACACAGGATTTTGTGCCAGGATTTTCCTTCTTCAGACAAATTTCAATGTCTCATCAATTGTTACCAACACAAACCTCTTCAGAAACACTACCCATCACTTACTGCCTGCCCCTGTCTACCTACAGGTTCTGCATGGCAGAAGGAAAGTATGAAGCTGACTTCGTCCCTGCAAGAAAAGCATTAGTGGGAAAAACCCCAAATCCAATGCCCTGCTATTATGTGCACTGCAGCTTTATGGGAGGGAAATTGTCCAGTTTTTCAGACATCTGAAGAAAGGTTTTAGAAAACCTTTAGATGAAATATACTTTAACACCAGGAACTAACAAAGATGGAAAGCATCACTTCACAGCCCCTCAGGTGGTGTCAGCCATGGTACTTGTTGCTGACACACCAGGTGAGACTCTGTCCAGGTACAGCAGTGCCTGGGCAAAATACACCAAAAAGCAAAGTCCTTTACAGAAATAATTTCGGAGAGAAGCATCAACATCTTGATTTCAGGTTTTGAATGCTTTTGCATGCACTGCTCTTGTTCAAGTGTTTGTATAATGTATTGCCTTAGATAATTCTGGAAATACATGACCATAATTTGCTGTTAAAGTGGTGTACTGACTGTTTAAAAGTGCAACAAATATCAAAACAACAAAAAACTCAATGAAAACATCTGATTGTCCTGTAAAACTAGACCTGCAAATAACAGTTAAAGCAAGCAGCTTTGTCGGTCTAAGTGAAAAGAGAACGTGAAACAAACAGTTTGACTGGCAAGAAAATTAGTAAGCACAGATAATACATTTGTATGTTATTCAGATGGTGTTCTGGCAGCATTCCAGCCATGGAACAGCAGCAGTCTTTCAGGAACACTTCCCCAGCTCCGAAGCACTGGTGGATTAAGTGGGAGATAGCACCCAGAGCATGATGATTTTCTAGCACCTCAAGCAGAAGCACGCTGGCAGCAGCACACAGCTCCCAAGGCACGGCTATGCTGCTGTGTGCAGACAGAAATACAGGCATTTTCTGCAGCTGAGATCTCATTACTCAGAAAGAGATTTCCATGATAGGCTGGAAAATGGAATGAGACTGAGATTTCTTCGCCCCCCTCCATGTTGTTTTCTCACTTTTTCTGCTTTTCCATATCTTTCATGTGGCTCTAACATGATGCTTTATTTTGCCTGTAGGGCGTATGCAAAAATCCTCTTTAATGTCTGCTTGTCACAGCCACTCCCAGATTCTCCCAGTGGTCACCAAACCAAGAAACCTTTGTCTTACCTTGTCAGGGGCTGAAAAACTTCCACACATCAAGGGACTGTCCTCAATAGCTGGTAAGACCAAATAATACCTCAAGAATACATTAGAATCCTAGAGTGGAAATCTCTTTCTCTGATATTTAAGTGACAGAAAGAGCAGCTTTTGTTCAGCATAAGGAACACAACAGACTAGATGCTTCCAAGGAGGTCCATTCCCCAAAGCTTCTGCAGTCTCACTGGAGCACAGCACTGCTCCCTCCCAGGACAGGGCACTTCCACACAAGGGGATCCCGGCTGGGAAGAGCTCCCAGGATACAGCTGGGAGGGCAGCCCAGCCTTTGCCTGCCCCTCAGCAGGAATCCTGGGGAAGGCAGCCTCTCCCACGCCGGCTGAGCAGGCTCCCTGTGGAAGGCAGGCAGGATGCCAGGCCTGGCAAGGCTGGCCGTTTGCTTCAATGGCTCGGGTCCTTCCTATCTTCCCCTATTCCCAGAAATGACGCTGCTATTTTCTGCTCATTGAGCCATCGGGTTTGAGGTCAGCAGCAGGAAGTTGAGAAAGGCAGGATACACGACCCAGAGAGTAGAAAATATCAATACTGACAGCAGAGAATGAGTGAACCTGCCCATTCAAGGCTCCAGTGCCCACGAGAAGTTTTCAGGGAGCCCTGACAAGCTTCCATCCGTGCCACAGAGAGATCACAAACAGGGGACACAGGAGAAATGCAGACCTGTTTCTTGAACATCCAGAGTTACCCTAACTTGCTCTGCCCTCATAGAAAAAGAAAATCAGGCAAGATATTCATCTGATGCTGCACAGAAGTACCCCAGAACAGGCAGCTCCTCTGTTTAGGGCACACAAAGGCCTCCAGGTACTCCTCTGTCATCCCAGTGCAATGCTACGAGCAGGAACATCTCTGCTCACAGTCACTGAACACCTCTGGTTTTCTGAGCAGCAAACCACTGCCAATTTTAAATGTACCATGGCCCGGGGGGACACAGGGCAGCAGAAGAGCAGAGCTCTCTGCTCTGACTGACACCAGGGCACCGCCTGGCAGGGTCTGCTCAGACACAGAGCCCCCAGCCATGTCAGAGCCTCTCCTCTACAGGACAGTCTCCTCTTCGACCTCTGCTGCAAGGACACCCACCAGTGTCTGCAGATTATCAGTTACAGCTCTCACACCATTTGGGGAATGACAAATCAGTATTTGACAAAGACAGCCTTTACAGCATGTGAATAAGGGGAAGAGTGTAGCAGACTTCGTGGTTCTGAAGTTCCTGTGCTTGGTAAAACCACTATTCTGCACAGCAGAAGATTATTATCTAACATGCACATTAATCCCTGACTGCCCCCAAAAAGCACTGAAATACGATCAGAAAAATTTATAAAGTCTCAGTGTTTTCAGCCTCCTCCTCAGTCTACCTGATATAGTAATATTATTATCATCATCATCAAAAACTTCTAGGAAGAGTCACTTATTATTTAAGCAACTGATGAGAAATACCCCACTGCTAGCACAGCAGCACTTCCCACACCTTGTATCCTATAACTGTATTTACACAGCACAAGGAGAAGGCAGCTGCTCAGCACAGTCATTATAACTCACCCACACTCACTACCTTACCCAAACTTACCCTATTTACAACCAGGCTGTTCACACACGTCTCGTAGTAGAGGCATCAAAAGCAAAGGCACCTCTTTTTTCCCTTTCAGCCAAAGCTAAACACGAAGCTGGGACGAGGGGGGCAGAGAGGGACCCGCTGCCGGGGTGGCACATCCATGCGACACAGAGGACACGAGTGCTCTCCGCCCCTCATTCTCCTGTTTCACCGTGACATTTAATTATCCAAATGAGGCGTCCCCAGCTACAGCAACAGAAAGCATTAATCCAGGACAACCATAATGGCTTTAAACCACACGATGTTTAAACAGCACTATTATTTTTACTCCGAGCGCTGCCGCACCTCTCTACACTGGACCAGCCCGAGCATGGGTACCAGCCGTGCCGCGGTCACCACCGCGGGCTGCCAGGGACCGCGCGGGTCCGGCCCGTCACCGCGGCGAGCCTTCCTCCCCATCCTCCTCCTCCTCATCCTCCTCCTCATCCTCCGCGTCCCCATCAGCCCCGCGCCCCCACCCGAGCCGCGCCGCGCCGAGCCGAGCCGAGCCGAGCCCGGCCCAGGCCCCGGCCCCTCACGCAGCCCCGGTACCTGCGCCCTGCGCGTCTCGCGCCGCCGCCCGCACCTGCTGCGCACCCCGCGGCACGGTGACGTCACGGGAGACAGGCCACGCCCCCCGACGGGGCGGGCACGTCACGGCCCGGGCCCCGCCCCAAGGGGCGTGGCCGCGAGTGGGGCGTGGCCGAGGAGCGACCGGGGCAGCCCCGGGCCCTGGCCCTGGAGACAGGCCACGCCCCCCGACGGGGCGGGCACGTCACGGCCCGGGCCCCGCCCCAAGGGGCGTGGCCGCGAGTGGGGCGTGGCCGAGGAGCGACCGGAGCAGCCCCGGGCCCTGGCCCGGTCATTGTCCCGGTCATTGTCCCTGTCATTGTCCCTCCCCTGTCGCAGCTACTGTTCTTGTCCCTGTCCCCGTCCCAGCTGCTGCCCCTGTCCCTGTCGTTGTCCCTGTCCCAGGTTCTGCTCTTGTCCCTGTCCCAGCTACTGCCCCTGTCCCTGTCGTTGTCCCTCCCCAGTCGCAGCTACTGTTCTTGTCCCTGTCCCTGTCCCAGCTATTGTCCCTGTCCCAGCTGCTGCTCTTGTCTCTGTCCCCGTCCCTACCCCTACTCCATCCCTATCCCAGCTATTGTCCCTGTCCCAGGTTCTGCTCTTGTCTCTCTCCCTGTCCCTACCCCGTCCCTGTCCCAGCTATTGCCCCTGTCCCAGGTTCTGCTCTTGTCTCTGTCCCTACCCTGTCCCAGCTATTGCCCCTGTCCCTGTCGTTGTCCCTGTCCCAGGTTCTGCTCTTCTCTCTGTCCCGACCCTCCCTGTCCCAGCTATTGCCCCTGTCCCAGGTTCTGCTCTTGTCTCTGTCCCTACCCTGTCCCAGCTAGTGTCCCCTGTCCCTGTCGTTGTCCCTTCCCTGTCCCAGCTACTGTTCTTGCCCCTGTCCCTCTCCCAGCTATTGCCCCTGTCCCAGTCGTTGTCCCTGCCCCAGTCGTTGTCCCTGTTCCAGTTACTGCCCCTGTCTCTGTCCCTGTACCTCTCCCTGCCCCGTCCCTGTCACAGCTGTGGCCCTTGTCTCTGTCCGTGCCCTGTTCCTGTCCCAGCTGCTGCCACTGTTCCTGTCCCAGCGCCATCCCTGTCACACCTACTGCCACTGTCGCTGTCTCCATTCCTGCTCCTGTCCCTGGCCCAGCTGCTGTCACTGCCCCTGTTCCTCTGCGTGTCCCCGTCCGTGCCTCTGTCCCGGTTGTCCCGGCCGGTGTCCGGGGCCGTGCCGCGGGCAGGGGGTCCCGGCAGCTGAGCGGGGCTGTTCGGGGTTGAACCAAGGACGGACGGGGGGCACGGGAGGCACCGGGGGCAGCCTCAGCCTGCTCAGGACCGGGGCCAGCAGCACTGGGACCCGGAGAGCCTTGGCCCCACCGGGGACCCCCGGGCACGGCAGGGGCTGGGCCGGGCCCCAGAGCCCCCCAAACCCGCCCTGCTTCCCCTCCCCGCGGGCTGGACGGGACACCTGGCTGGCCACCGGGACCTTTGCACGGGCGCTGTCGCCTTCTGCTGATAGCGGGACACGTGCGTAGGAGAGGGTCCAGGCACAGAGCCTGGGAAAGCAGTTACGGGTTTGCCCAGATAAAATAGGTCAAGGACGCAGGTCGGAGCGTTCAGTCACCGCCCCTGCCCCTGGCACATGACCGTGACTCACCGTGGTGGCCAGCGGTGTCCCACCAGTGGAGGGACGCTGTGCCTGAGGGGTGTGTGGTGGGCTTGGGGATCCTGGTGGGAATGTGGCTGGGACCCTGGGGGTCTCCAGGGAGTGGAGCAGCATGATCCTGCTCCTGTGCTGCCGCGTGTGCTGAAACCAGCTTCTTTTTCCCCACCATCGATTAGTAGATCTAATCAGGCCAGCGTAATGCTGGGTCCCTAATGAGGCTCAACCAGGAAGAAATTATTTAAATTAGTTACATGACGTGCTATATTCTTGGGTGAGAGAAAAACAGGATACACAGCTACCCCTAGAACTCACCCAGCACCCAAGGGTATCCCAAATGAAACCTGCTGGCTGGTGGGAGGTGTGGGAGACATTCAAGAGCCCTTCCAGGGCACCAAGAAGAGGCTGCAGTTCCCTGGATGCAGGCAGTGAAGCACCACCATTCCCCAGCCTCATCTGCCCCAGCTGTGCTGCCCTCCTCACACAGAATCACAGAACCATTGGAGCTGGAAAAGCCCTCTGAGATCATTGAATTCAATCATTCCTCCAGCACTGTCAAGGCCACCACTAAACCATGTCCCCAGGTGCCACATCCACATGCCTGTTAAACCCTCCATGGGTGGTGACCCCACCACTGCTGTGGGCAGCCTGTTCCAATGCCTGAACACCCTTCTGGTGAAGAAATTTTCCCCAATATCCAGCCTAAACCTCCCCTGGTGCCACTTGAAACCATCCCCTCTAATGCTGTCACTTATTGCCTGGGAGAAGAGGCCAACTCCCCCCTGGGCACAATCTCCTGTCAGGGAGCTGTAGGGTGGGAGAAGGACCCCCCTGAGCTTCCTTTTCTGCAGGCTGAGCCCCCTGAGCTCCCTCGGCTGCTCCTCGTCAGACCTGTGCTTCAGACCCTTCCCCAGCTCCCTTCCCTTCTCTGGACATGCTGCAGCACCCCGACATCTGGCAGAACCTCCCAGGAGGCAGTTTGCTCCAGAGAGTGGGGAAAAAACCCAACCAACCAACCAAAAAACTCCTCTGGATCGTTTTGTGCCACCCCAGTGGGTCCATGTGGCTCACACTCCATGGTGAGGAAGGGGAGGGCTGGCATGGAGGGGCCAGGGGAAGGCACTGCACGCGTGGGCACGAGCTGGGGCTGCTGCTCTGCTGCCCTGGAGCTGCAGACAATTCCATCCCACTGTTTCCTCACCCTACAATGTCATTTCCATATGCCTTTGGAGATGAAGCTGCCCAGCCAGGACCTCACAGCAGAAGGAATACACCTTGTTCTGCTGAGCAGCACGGAACTCGTCCTGGTCCTTGACTCCAGTGCCAGTGGGCACACATTATTGTCCTGTTAAACATTAACTGGGAAAACAGCTTGGAAAACATTGCTTGGCTTCATTAAAATCTTCAAAGGACACTTGATCCTTACATATCCTTATGAGCAGTTTGCACATACTTTAAATACTAATGCAGGCTGGGTTTATGGCTCTTATGGTCCCTCCAGCAGAAATCACACACTAATTTCTAGGTGCAGCTGTCGTTACCCTGGGAACAAGGCTGGTAGGGAATGCCATACAACAAATTGGGATTTAGCTCCTACAAGGAGAAGACAAGCCAGCTCTCCCCTGGAAAAAGGAGAGGCAGGACACTGAGCAAGGACGTGCGGAAGGCACATTCACCCAGTTTACACCAGGTGTGTTAGCACACCCCCAGAAGCCACCTGAGGGTGTGGGAGAGCCCTGGAGGCGTTACACGTGCTGAGCTGATGGGTTCACTGGGCTCCCAGAAAGGCTTCCCTGCCGTGTGTGGGGTGGCTGCAGCTGAGGGCAGGGAACTCCTGGGACACGGGAATGGAATGGTTTGAACATGGTGCCTGAGATTTTGGAGGACAGAACAGGCTTTGCACCCTTTGCATTTCTACTAGTGGTTTTATTCCTTCCTTTCTCCTGTTCCCTGACATGACCCACCATTATTAGCAGATGTGGGAAGGGAGGTGTGAATCCTGTTTACTGGGAAGCCTGTGCTGCCTGGAAACTCTGGTTTAGTAACATTTATCTCCCCCCAGCCCTCCCTGTGCCTGGCAAACTCAGAGGCTCCATAATCAAAGCTTTTGTCTTTGTTGTTTACTTTTTTTCTTTCCGATTGCCTGAACAACAGCAGCCAGAGGGAAGGAGCTGACCTTGCCAAGGACGAGGGCAGGAGCTGGACCTGGACAGCACAACAGGCTGTGGAGAGCAGGTGAGCAGGAACAGCAGAGGGCAAGGTCACTGTGGTGGCTGCTTGCCCCCATTCCTGCTGGTTTCACACCTCTTTCCACACAGCAATTTGGTAAAGCCCGTTGCAAAAGCCTTGTGAAACACCCCACTGTCTTTGCAAGGGTTCTGTGACATTGCAAGTTGCAGGCAGGGCTTTGTTGGTGATTGGTTTTGGTGGAGATGCCTACAGGGCAGAAGGGATCAGGGAGGAGATGTCCCTGTCCTTGTCTCTGTGACGGTGCCAGCTCAAGAGATCCTGCTCCATGCCCAGACTCCCACCAGCCTGTGCCTGCCTTCCTATCACATGCCAGTGCCTCCACAAAAACATGTTTAGGACCTTGTGAGCAGATCAAGATCAGAGTAACAGCTCAAAAAGAAAATGCTGCCTGGAGGATAAAATCCCTGGATCTTCACTCTCTGTCCTGAAATCCCAAGCCCTGTCTGGGACAAAGGTCTTTCTTACCTATCACCTTCACTATTGGGAAATTTTCCTGACTTGCTTGATCAAATTTCATGGCTTGAAAGTTCAGATCCACAGTGATCTGTGGCACAGATCTGTTGAACTGATTCAATGTCCCTTCACATCTGTCCCAGCTCATCTGGGTGAACCTAAGCCCTGCGCTGTTACTGGGAGAGAAGTTCAGTAGAACTTCCACTTCTCTCTGTGAACCACCACTTCTCTCCCACAGTTCTTCCCTCCTTGCTCAGGATGGGTTCTGCTGT